AGAAGATGTTTTGGAAAATTATTTTGAGAGAGAGTTTTGGAAAAAGTGATTGATTTGATGTGTATGAGAGAGAGATTTGTTTGGAAAACTTGTAAACCAAACAAGTTTTGAAAAAAAAAATTTGAGAAAATTTGTTTGATTTGATTACTTTTAAAAATTTATTTGTAAAAAATTTTTCTTAAAATTTTTTGAGAAACACAAACCAAACGAGACGTAGGCAACAATGGAAGAAAGTGGTAAAAAACAACCATGACACAGTTTTTAAAACAAAAGTGTTTTTAAAAAATCATTAAGAACAAATAAAAATCTGTAAATATTTTTTTCAGTTTTTTATTTATTTTTAATGAATATATATATATATATATATATTTACTTTTTAGATATATCTAATTATGTTGCTTCTTAAAAGGGAAAAAAATATTTTATTAATAAATAAATAATCAAATCATGTAATATTTATTAATGATATCATAAATATCTTTCAATTAACAATTTTGATAATTTTAGTGTTGCATAAGAGAGTAATTAGCAATTAAATTTTTCCTTTTAATTCTGTTAAATTAAAAATTCTAACAATTAATATTTTTAATTTCTAGAATTATAAGGGACAATTTATATTTTAAACAAATTTAAAAGATATTTTTATAGTTTAGCCAAAAACAAAATATTAATACTTCAAAATTGACCAACATTCATATTATAATTATCATAAAGTCTTCTTCCAAATTAGTAATACAACCCATTGCACTGTTCCCAAAGTGTAAGTGTTTCTTATAGTAGTGTAGATATTCAATTTTCAAAGATAAGTGTGATTGAAGTATATAATTTTTTTTTTATGAATATTCTTTTCAATAAGTAGTAAAAAGTGAACGGTTTGAATCACCAAGATTTGGCTCATAATAAGCCCACTAAACCCAAATAATCTCTCAAGTTGAATTTCCAACATGAGAGAAGCCAAATTTAATAATAAAAAAAAACCTTCAAAACCTAAAAAAAAAGTACCATAGATCCATCAAAGGTGGAGTTGTAATATCCTCAAAGTAGAAAGGATAATAAAATAAATTTCCTCAAATGTAATCATTAATCCATACATGGAGCTAAAGTCAATTAAATAACAAAAAAGTGAATTTACTAAGAAATCCAACAAAACAATCAAATCATCTAAAAGACCTAAGACAATAATAAAGTAGTCAAAATAAATAAAAAGATAAAATGGGTAACAAAAAAACAAATCTTCAAAATATGCAAGTGATTCTTATAGTATATATATATATTAGGTATAATATAAGCACAAAGATAAGGTATAGTAAGAAAGTACTGAAATGAATGATTTGGAAAAAAAAGGAAAGGAAGAAAGGAGATGGAAATAGCGGAGGCCTGTGGAAGGTGTTAACGGTGGTTGAGGGTGGTGGCCAAAGAAGATGGTTTTAGGGGTGGGTACCGACCCTCTTCTTCTTTGTAGATGATTTCGGGGGTGGAGGAGGAATAGTCTATCAATGACCCATTTACTTTAGTTCTATCAAAATGACAATCACTCCATGGATGTTGTTGACGAATGCATGGATTGTCATTCCATCCAAATCGAAGAGAAGATGAAGGAGAGAGGATGACGACGGTGAAAGAAAGAAATGTGAATATCAACGGTGAGTTGAATGGAATAGTGCCAACGACGAGTTGGATAGTATCGACGGTTATGATGACATGACGTACAAAGGGTTGGGTATGTAAAGAAATTGGGGTTTCAAATTTCTAAGGTTGGAAGTTTAAAAAGTAATTTTATTAAAAGAGAAAATTATAATAAAAATAAGAGGTGTAAAAAGTTGAAATTATTGTGTAATTAGAATTTCTCAAAATTAAAATTGCAAAGGTGAATGACGCATGTGCCCCCGTCGAGTGACGTGGTGCATGAGAATCGCAATGTTACAAAGCCGTACGAAATTCGGTAAATCAAACCGCAAATTGCAAACAAAAGCTAAAATTCACAGTCACTCCCTAATCTCCAAACGCCGAAGCTCTTTCAATCGAGGGAACAAAAGAAGAAAAAAAAAAAGAGCCCCATTGCCTCACAAATTTCTCGCCCTTTCTCGCATTTTCCTGGAATCTAAACTCGTGAAGGCGCTTCATTTTGGTGACTTTTCAACCTCTGCAGTAATATAAGGTATGTTTTCTTTTGATATCCCAAACCCTCCAGAGCTTGATTTCTAGGGTTTCGAATTTGTTTTCACTCGTACAGTGATTTCAGTGATGAACAACAACGATTTCGAGCTAGATCGAATTATCGATTTGATTGGAGACGAGTCTCAATCAAAATCTAGGGTTTCAGGTGGCGTGTTGTTGGTAGCTTTGAGAAAGCCATCTATGCTGCAACTGACGAATATAAGTCTTTGGATTTTGTAGGGTCTAAAGAAATCAGGATTTCAGCGGAGCTGGGGAATCAAGCTGCGGAGACTGATGTTGATGGTAGGGTTTCGGGGGTTCAAAAAACTAGGGTTTCGTTGGTTGAAGAGATTGATGAGGAAATGAAATCTCGGACTTCTGATATTCGAAACGAAGACATGATACAGATTATGAATGACCATAAAATGGGTGATAAGAACACTGATTCCGAACAATGGCAGTCCAGGGTCGAAGAGGATGTGCCCAATTCTGCGGAAAAGGTGTTTGTAGAATCGTCTCCTAGAGAAAGTGACCATAAAAATGTGATACCAGGAATGGTGGGTTGGGGAAGGGACATGTAGAACTGGGTAAATCTAGTGTTTCTCAGAGTGATTCTACGATTTCGATGTGTCAGGAATCTTCAGCAAATGGGAAGTGTAAAGCCATAGGGGCTGGGCAGTCAAGCTCTGTGGGTTATGGATATGAAATAGGGGATATGGTTTGGGGGAAAGTGAAATCACACCCATGGTGGCCGGGCCATATATATAATGAAGCATTTGCATCGCCTTCGGTTCGTAGGTCAAGGAGATCGGGTCATGTGTTGGTTGCGTTCTTTGGTGATAGTAGTTATGGATGGTTTGATCCAGCGGAGCTCATCCCATTTGATGCTAATTTTGCTGAGAAGTCGAGGCAGACAAGTTCAAGAACATTTGTTAAGGCTGTGGAAGAAGCAGTTGATGAGGCAAGCCGGATTCGTTGTCTGGCTTTGGCTTGTCGGTGCAGGAACCCATATAATTTTCGGCCAACTGAAGTTGAAGGTTACTTTGCTGTTGATTTGAGTGACTATGAGCCTGGAGCGATGTACCCCATGAGCCAGATTAGTAAAGCGAGGGAGAGTTTTCGGCCTAAGGATACTCTTGCTTTTATAAAGCAATTGGCATTGATGCCTATAAGTGATGGGCGCAGTAGTCTTGATTTTATTATGAATAAGACTGTTGCTTTGGCTTATCGAAAAGCAGTGTTTGAGGAGTTCGATGAGACCTATGCTCAAGCATTTGGGGCACAGCCTGTACGCCCTTGTCGTGAACCAATGAAAGCTGTGGTTCAGCCTGTTAGAGGTATTTTGTTATTTGCTCTTTACATGACTTGTTGGTTGCTGTTTTTATTGGGTACTCACCATAGGTCTATCATAATGTTGTTCTTTTGCACATTTAGAATGACAACATAGTGTGCAAGATTTGGGGAGTCGATAAAAGTAGTGGACGTATATAGGCTTGTTTTCATTGAGGATAAATAATAAAATTACATCTCTCTGTAATTGCTTAAGCTTTTAGATTTTAGATGAGATGATGGTCAACAATTTGACATGATATTAAAACAGCAATAGTTCGTCTATGCAGTAATTACAATAATTGCACATATTTAGCCCAGTTATATAGTAGTGCTTGGCCAAGAATTTTGTTAGAATCTCATTCTGATAAAATCGTGATTCCAATTGGGATGGGATCGCCCAAACTTATGAATCTCAAACAAATAAAAGAAAAGCTACCAAGGAAAAAGATATCTGTACAGAATATATATTTGTTCTAGGTTTTGGTACTTCAATAGATATCTCAAATTGGGTTATGTGATTGGGGAGTAAAGATATATGTTTGTTGGTAATGAGCTGTTATAAGAATTCAATATGTTTTTGTTTAACAACAAATGTAGTAGTGTAATGTTGACATTTATAATTTCACGTATATATTACAACTAGGAAAGAAAATTATTTCTTACTATATATTTATATATAAAGTACATAAAGTCCTTCAACTACTCTCAGCATTAGACTTTTCTTGCAACTAAGTTTTAGACTTTTCTGCTTTGAGTTTGCATTAAATGGTGTCAGGGAACCTGTTCCAAACTAGTATCACTTCCCTCTTTTTAATCAGCTCATCAATTCGTCATAAAAGACCGATGGGAAGTCGTAAGTAATTGAAAGCGTCTGTTCACAAAGTTTTCTTTTTCATACTTGCTTGAGGTTGCGTACGCTTAGTTATCTTTCTCTATGTAATGTCGAGAAATGGAAAGACTTTGTCTGGTGGTATCGTATATAAGAGAGAACCTGGTTTAGTTAAATTGTGACCCCAAAAAAAATGTTTATGCCTTTATAAAACAATGGGGATTGTTCCATGTTGTATTATTTGCATTGTCTTGATGCTTTATTAATAAAGTTGCTTATTTATCCACACACACACAAAAAAACAAAACAAAACAAAACAAAACGCACACACAATGGGGTTTGGTAGCTGTTGCAGTTGAGACATCTGTTTGAGTTCTATAGTGGAGCATCTATCCACTTCTAAAGATCATTTCTTTTTCCTTTCTACCCAGTGGTGACAGTAGTCATACAAAATAATTCTCAAGGTCGTTAGTCTTGAGCTTTGCTAGCTTTTGCCAGATGAATAATTGTTAGAAGTCCCTTTGAACTCAAAAACCCACGAGGAAATGTGTATGGGGCCTTTGGCTAATTCAAGGGGAAGATAGACATTAGAGGATAAGTTCGTTCTTTACTGAGCCTGTTAGTTTAGTTTAGATTGTAGCCCCATGTAATCTTTGCTGATGTTGTTTTGCCTGGTTTACTTGTGCTTTCCTAATTCTGAGAAAAGTGGGTCAAATCATTTGGGGTACTATCCATTTGCTTGGTCTGGGTTTTCTAAAAATACTTTTCAGAAAATTTTACTTTCTTGTTTTCCGTATTTTTTTTTTGTTTTTACTGAATTTTTTTAATATTTTAAACAAATTTTTTTTTTTATTTTTTAGACACACCTAACATAAATTCACTTAAAAATTATAATTTTCGTAGAAAAAATCTTTAAAAAATTCACTAAATACCAAAAATACGAAAAAAAAATTACAAAAAATAAATATATTTTTCGTATTTTTGTGTATTTATTAATTTTTTGAAATAGTTTTTCACAAATATTTTACTTTTTGGATACATCTAAGTAAGGTGCATCTCAAAAAGTAAAAAAAAATGCTTAAAATTTTAAAAATATTTACTAAAAACAAAAAAACACGAAAAACAAAAAAACTCAATTTTCAGAAAATTGAATTAAAAAACTAAAACCAAACACACTAATTAATTTTTCTTGTTCTCAATTTTAAATTTTGAATTGTTAAGTACATACCACATTACCCAATAGTCTTCCCCCAGCTAGGCGGCCAAATCTCAGTTGTTATGCTTGTAATTTGGTCCGTCTTCTCTAATAATCAGGCTTTCATATCATTTGGTTTCTGCTTGTGCAAAACATGTTATCAAGTTCAAAAATACAGGGCTCGTTTGGTTTGATTTTCTGAAAAAAATTTGGGAAATTTTCTCTACAAATAAGTTTTCAAAAATAACCAAACCAAACAAATTTTCCCAAAAAAATTTCCCAAAACTTGTAAACCAAACAAGTTTTCCAAACAAATCTCTCTCTCACACACATCAAATCAATCACTTTTTCCAAAACTCTATCTCAAAATAATTTTCCAAAACATCTTTTAAAAAAAACCAAACCAAACATGTTTTTGTACTTTTTATCTCTAAAACACATCTCTCAAACACAAACCAAACATACCCACAGTCTTACTACAGGATGGTGGTAGCATAATCTTAAGTAGAACTCTTATTCTGCAGATCCCCAAGTTTAGCACCAATTTTTGCTGTCGGATGTAATTTATGTATCATTTAATATTTGAGTTTGTTTCTTAAATCCTGCTTGCATCATGTCTCACTTGTTTATGAACATTGCCTTCTTGCTCATGTTATTATGTATCTGTCATTTTCACAGCGCCATTGAGTGGCCCACTGGTGTTTGCTGAAACTTTGGGTAAGAGGAAGAACTCTTCAAAGCCTAATAAAGCAAAGGACCAAGCAAACAAAGATAGATACCTTTTTAAACGGAGAGATGAGCCAAATGAGTTGAAATTCCAGCAAACAGGGCAAACGATGTCCTCTATGCAGCCGGCTTATGTAGTGGGCTCTGCAGAATTAGCAGCTGGTGATTATATGTTGCAAAAGAGGCCTCCAGCAGTCTCTGCAAAGCATCAGATTCCTGCAAAACTTGAGCAGATGGCAAGGATTGGGATGGATGGCGGCTCACTTTCAAGTCAAGATGCAACTGGTGTGAAAGTTGAATCATTAGCTGATCCCACAGTCATGTGTGCTTCTGGTTTGTCCGAGAAAGAGACTTTCCATGGTGGAATAGACGGTGTGCTTCTTACTTCAGAGCAAGAAGATGATGCGACAATTAACTTGGAAAACGATCAGCCGAGTGCAAGTCCATTGAAATTTGACGAAGGCTTCCAGCAACCTCAAATTTTACCAGCTATAGTTGAAGTAGTGCCTGGACAGAAACAAGTTCACATTGGTGGCAATGGTGGACGTGTTTTGCCAACAATTGATGCTAAGTTTCATAATCAGGATTCAAGAATACGTATTGACAAGGGAGCAAAGAAGGCCAAGCTTCTTAAACATCCTGCTGGGGAATTGGGTGCTGAGAAATCTGTCCCTGTGGAGAAGAAGAAGAGAAAGAAAGAACTGGGGTCGGAAATGAGCTCTGATCGTATACCTAAGCGGACTGCTACTGGAAAAGTTGGTGCATCGATGGGGAGAGTAACAGAAAAAACAGTCCAGGTTGGTCTGCCTCCAAGAGAAGATTTTCAAATTGAGCATCAGAGGAAAGATGATGGGGCCAGTAGTTCATTGTTGCCTGATTCTCTCAAAACACAGCCAATGGTTGTGATGGGAAATATGGAGCTCAAGCTTCCACGTTTACTGGGTGATTTGAAAGCTCTTGCCCTTGATCCGTTCGACAGTGCGGAGAGGAATGATTCTGAAATTGTACAGCGGGCCTTCTTGAAATTTCGGTCTGTTGTTTACCAAAAGAGCTTGGCCCTGTCAATCCCAGTGGAAATGGGTTCTGATAATCCTCCCCATGGGAACATAAAAAATTTGCCATCTTCAAAACCCCCAAAACCTCTAATAAGGCCTGGTGATCTGACAAAAGGTGGCCTGAAACGTGGCCCATCTGATCGCCAAGAAGAATTAACTGCAAAGAGGGTGAAGAAAATCAATGACTTGAAGTCTCTGACAGCAGAAAAGAAAGCTGTTCAAAAAGACGGAAAAGAAACAGTGGCTCTTAGGCATCCAAAATCTCTCAAACCAGATTTGGCCAAGAAAACAGAGTCCCCAGGAAAGACACCTGAACCAACAATGCTGGTGATGAAGTTTCCTCCCGAGACAACGCTTCCATCTGGGTCTGAGCTGAAGGCTAGGCTTGCTCGTTTTGGACCATTGGATCATTCATCTACCCGTATTTTCTGGCAATCCTCAACATGCCGCGTTGTCTTCATTTACAGAGTTGACGCTGAGACAGCACATAGGCATCTTTCTGGAAACAATACTCTATTCGGCAATGTGAATGTGAGATGCCACATCCGGCCATTGGGAGCGGCAGTAGCACCCGAATCAGAAAGCAAAGTCCAAAGAGAAGATGCCCTTATAGAAACCCGTGATTCTTCAGTCGAACAGAGACTGCCACCAGCACAGCAGCCATCAGTCCAGCTCAAGTCATGTCTGAAGAAACCAATGGGCGATGAGGTGGGACCCACTGGAGGCAGAGGGACGCCTCGTGTAAAATTTGCGGTGGTGGAGGGAGAAAGTAGTGGTGGAGGAGAGAATTTGATGGTTGGTAATAAGAACAACTTCAACAATGTTAGTTTTGGTGATGGTGGTACAATTACTTCTTCTCATGGAATAGATTTTAATAGTAAGAATTTTCAAATTCAGGCCCAATTTCCGAGAAATACTCATAATTTTAACACCTATATCTCTCCGGCACCTACACCGGCCCTGGTTCCGGCTCCGCCGGTGCCGAGGGCAAGCAACATGGACATTTCACAGAAGATGCTTAGCCTTCTTACAAAGTGTAATGAGGTAGTAACCAACATCAAGAGCTCTCTGGGCTATGTGCCATACTATCCCCTCTGATGAGGAATAGTATCAAAATAGGATGGTCAGAAGATCGAACATGTGGTGCTTTCCCGTGTGGGCAGTCGAATGATAGCTAAGTTGGGGAAGAATTCACTGCAAAGTGGGTGGAACGGGGCTTTTTAATTTTCAGAAAACCCAAAAAAAAATAAACAATGAACAATTTTTGTTATGAATGGGATGTGTATCGAAGTGGGAATAGTCCCTAGTGTACTGGTGATAGTGATAAAGCTTCTCTTCTCTCCTCTCTTCTTCTTTCTTTATTTTTTTTTTTCCTTTCCCTTTCTCATTTTGAAGCATTTTATTTAGACATTAATGTCGTATGTTTGTTTGAATCTCTCTCTCTCTCTCTCTCTCTCTCTCTCTATTGAGTAATGCTAAGATAACTAAATTTGCTTGATCGAATACTTTACATGTCATTTATTTAGTGACATAATGTATGAAAAGTGTGACTCATTGCACCAATGTGGGGGGTGAGATGATAAAGAAAATAGGAAGAGAGATGCATAGAAGGGCAAAGTTGGCATTTCAAGTATTATTTGTGCTGATGTCATGTTTTTTCATCTTACAACTAATTGATTTACTAGTTGTTGGGTTAAAAGTTTGAATTATTATTGTTTTAAATTGTTGCGCAATTTTTTCAAGTAAAGAAGCGTAGTGAAATTTTAGATAATAAGAAAGGTGTTAGTAATATTTTAAAAGTTTATAGGAAGTGTTAGCGTAATTTACATTGTATAGAGATATATCCTCCTTTTTACCCTCTTGTAATTTTCAAGTAAAACACCATGACATTTTGTGCCAAAAGTTATGTAATGGAAACTATGGTACAAGAGAAGCAAAAGAGATGCTATTCTGATTCTAATATGACGAAAAGCCATTAAAAAAAGAACGGCCCATGATACGCTACCTTTATTTTGGTTGGTTGGTTGGTTATTCGTTTTCAACTTCACTCAAAATTTCAAAGAACCTTTCTTCCCTCTAATAATTTTTTTTAATTATTTTTTATTCTATATATAAGATCTAATAATATTTTGTCAAATCCAAACAACCACTCTCACCAAACACTCAACAAAACAATAAAACAACAACAACAGTCTGTGAAACAATCTATCAATGGAGTAATTTCCATTGGATGTCATGGTCATTTATACCGAGGACTTAAGAGATGTGAATCTGATCACGAAAATGAACGTGTTTGTGGTGGTGTCGATCTCCAACAACCCCAATATCAAACATATGACTCCTGTCCTCAAGCACCATTGCATCACCTTCTCCGTCACTGCCAAAGCTGTCAATTGCCAACTCTACCTTTGCCTTATTCTTCTGCTTCATACTCGAGTCTCGAGACCTTTTCAGCGACAAGGTCATTGGCACTGTCATCGTCTCCATGAAAGAGCTCCTAAACAAATACAACCAAAAACCACCACGAGACTACTATAGTAGGCAGTAGCCACAGAGACTACAAGCTCGTTGTTTAATACTTGATTTGCCCGTCGTCCTCTAACTAGCTTAAAGGTGTCCTGAAATCCTCTTACAAGTTTGGGAAAAAGTATGGTGGTGAAGCGCACCCATCACAAGGTGGTGCCACCATGGCCTACAAGCCGCCACCAAAAGTTGGGTACGCTGTACTGCCGACTAGTCCCACTATGACCAACACACCATTGTCAAAAGTTGGGAACACTCCACCACTAACTAGTACCACCATGGCCTACACGCAACCAGCAGAAGTTGGGTATGCTTCACCGTTAGTGAGTACTATTAGGATTTACACACCACTGCCAAAAATTGGGTACATTCCACCACCGACTGGTGCCATCACGACCTATATACCACCACCAAAAGTTGGGTACACTTCATTGTCGGCTGGCACGTACACACCCTACAAACTATCACCAAAAGTTGGGTATACTACATGTTGGCTACATATTTTGTACAAGCCAACTACAATTCGACACGTGGCAAAGTAAGGGTAGTACAGGAAGACTATTCAAATCTTCGATCCTGATCGTACACGTGGCAGTTAGTATTGGTTGTTACGAGATCTGAGTAGCAGTGGATCAGCAGAGAGATACAAAGTGATGTGGCATCATCGGTTACTCACATTTGAATTCAAATTTAGGAAGGAAGCCTAACTACAAGTGATGGCATAATGGAGCTAATCTTGAGACAACATGATCAGCGATCATGGAGCAGCAGTTCAACGGTTGGAAATACAGTTCGATGGTCATCCTTAAGCAGTATAAATAGCAGAGAAGGCCCCAGAAAAGCCCCCAGACTCAAATCCAAAAACCAGTCTTATTCTGCTTTACTTAGTTTTACATTTCCTCTTCTTTACATTCCAGTACTTTAAATTTTGCACTGCACTTCATTCATAGGAGTAGTTTCAAGTAGATTGTCGCTGTAAACCTCTATGAGGCTGAGTTTGAATCATTGTAAGTTTTTCATTCTGATGAAATGCTTCAGTTGTTCTTTATTTGATTGATATTTTGCTTAATTCTTGTAACAACCCTCGTCACTGTTTATCGATTAACCACCGACTACTGCTAAACTGAGACTGATTATGATTGGTAACTGAATTGATTGAAGTACTGAACTGATTGATTGAGATCTGGGACTGGATTGATTAAGTATATCTGTTTAATTGTATGTCTATCTGTTGACTGTTTGATTATCTGTTCATGTCTTTGTGTTTAAATTGTGAATTGAAGGCCTTATCGGCGGCTGAATCTGAAATTGATTGATGATTTGTGATCCTTAGAATTAATGTGATTTTATGGCATATTCAGTTAAAATGTGATTTGGTGTGATTAAATTAGGTTAAGTTAAGCCAAATTGCATGAGTAGACTTAATTACCATTTTGCCACCATTGAGTGGGCCGCTTAGCCAACATACTTGAGCCTTGTTATACATGTAATCAAAACATTTCATCAGCCATTTCCCTTGTTATTGCCGACCAAGAGGGAGAGAGGGAGAGAAGTGAGTGTTCTTGAGAGTTGGCTTAGAGAACTTGAAGAATTGAAGGATAATTGTCTAATTAAGCTTCCAGTCTTGTGATTGAAGACTTAGGTAAGGAAATTCAACCTCTCATTGTTGTGTTTAAGTTGATTCTTGCATGGTTCATGTCTAATTGAGGAGCCAAGTCATGTCTTAGTCTAATAATGTTGAATTGGAGCTCATTCCATGCATGCATGTTTGAATTGTTGAGTTATGAGTTGATTTCATGGTAAAATGTTATATGCATGTTCATATTGTGTTTAAGTCCATGATTTCATCTTGTCCTTGAAGAATTGGCTCACTAGAGCATGAAATTGAAGCTTTGAAATGGTTTAAATTCATGCATGTTATGCTTGATTTATGTTCATGAAAATTGGTTTCAAATTGAGTTGAATTGATCTTCCTTTAGGTCTTTGATTTTACAATTGAGCTTTGAGTCATGTTAAATTATGAGTTTTGATGTGTTTTCCAGCAAACTAGCCCAAGAGGATCGAAATTTATGTTTTAAAACTTGGTTTTGAGCTTAAGGTTCAAATCTGGAATTTCCAGAATTTGGACTCACGCTCGAGCGGGGTGACTGGCGCTTGAGCGCGAAATTCGTACTCCCAGTACTTTGCACTGTTTTGATGTCCACTCGAGCAGAATAATTGACGCTCGAGCGGGACATTGTGTCTCATGCTCGAGCGGGTGTCGAGCGCCCAATCGAGCATGATTTTCACCAATCCAGCACTTTTGACTGTTTTGCTGAACGCTCGAGCGGGTAATTCTACGCTCGAGCGGAAACCTTTGTCTGCATGTCCGCTCGAGCGAATTAACCTACGCTCGAGCGGGACCCCTGTTTTCTGAAAATTCTGAAAATGCTTTTAAAGTGCATCTTTGCATCCTCATCTCATCCTAGGCATTATTAGGCCTAGTTTAAGACATCTTAATGAGGATATAGATGTAGAACATACCGAGGGAAATTAAGGATTAAGTTTTTTTTATCTTTCCCAACTGTGTAGCTTAGTGTGTGTTCAATCTGTAAACTGTGTAGGGTTGGCGACTGGGGACGCGCTCTAGCTTTACTGTAGCCCAGAACTCTGTGAGTAACAACTGTGTAAAGATATGTTCAAAATGATTATCTTCTGAACAAATGAACTGTATTGCTTTCTGAACTGATACTGTTAATTGAATGAATGTATGTCCTATATTTTGAACTGTATTGTGGCTTCCTTAGCAACTACTGTTTACCGTTACTATTACAGAGATCTCTGTCGGTTCCCTTGTTGGAACCACTACTATTTACTGATTGATGGCCATCATTTACTGTTCGGTCTTTTAAGACCTACTATTTACTGTACTGTTATGCTAATGGACGTACCACATATGACTGAATGACTGATATACTGAATTAACGAACTATTTTCATTACTGTAAGGACATTCATTCTTAACCCTTTTACACATTACGTTATTCACTGGGCTTTAGCTCACTGCTCATATACATATGTAGGTGTACAGGCACCAGACCGTGGTTAGAAGCGTCGGGGTAAGCTCCAGTTTTGTCAAGCCAATCACTGTGCCTCACTGCGAGGTTCTGAGCCCGTCAAGTTATGGCTTAGGGGTATTTTAATTTCCCCGTCTGTCTCTATATCTGTTTGTATAACTGTATAGGCTGTTACTGGACTGTTTAATAGGGATTAGGTCCCTGAACTGAATGATTGTATATATGTACATACTGTTCTGTACTGTTCATGCATATGTGTATGAAAAGTCTTTTTTGGCATACAGACTGTCACAGCTCATTAGACATTGTTTATTTACTGTTTTGGCTTCCGCCATGCCCCTGTACTCTGTTTTACTGTATTACTGTTAAGCAGGCCTTCGGTAATCTTAGATTACTGGCCGGTTACGGTACTAAACCCATAGGGGCGGGTTTTGGTCGTGATAATTCTCCTAAATCAAGCCACCAGTAAAAGTTCTCTTCATTGAGGCTGAGAGAACTAAAACACAATCGTCTGATAATTGGTTAGCAATTAAATTTCTGTAATGACTGATTGATCCTTACTGGCACGCTCGCAATTACAATAATAACCTTCGAAAGCCAAAAAGCCAACACTACCATAGGCCAGTGCGACCATGGCCTACATACCACTGCCAAAAGTTGGAGGGTTAGAGTTAGGAGATAGGTTGGTAGGAGGATATGATACAGAGCTCTAGTGGAGCTGCTCTAAAAGCAGTTCTGTTGAGTTGGCAATGCACGCGCGCAAACACACAAAATTTTAAAAATATTCATTAAAAATAAAAAATACAAAAAATAAAAAAACTCAAATTTTAAAAAGTTAAATTTAAAAATTTGAAATTGG